ATTAAAATATATATACGTTTTTATATTTTATTATTATTTATTACATATTTTATTATTACATATATAATTTTAATAATAAGATATAATATGTACATTACTCTTCCGCCTTAGATATAATTGAAGGGAATGAGCCGAGCACTTGAAAAGAGAACAAAGACCTTATTTTCAACATACATATAAGCCTCATCTATTGTTTTTGTATTTATTTATATATGTAATTATTAAATATTGAAATTAATAAACTTTAGACTTTTATCGAAGGTATGAAGACCAAGATGGTGTGGCCTTTTGTGTGGTCGCAGTCTTCTTTCGTTGTATAGAGGTTGTTTGACCTTGTTTTTGCAACTTGGTCGTATTGGTAGGAAGACTTAGAGGAACCCACCTAGTCCTGAGTCGACTGTGTGCATGATAATTTGCCACGTCCACGGTCCGACTTTGGAAATAATCATGCATACAGTGGACTCCTTACTAGGTGTGTTCCTCTAAGTCTTCCTACTAATATGACCAAATTGCGACAACAAGGTCAAACAACCTCTAGATTTTTATGCATATATTTATACTCATACACGCATACATTTCCATTTATTTCTTTACCAAACATTAGCTTATATATTTAAAGATATTTTCTTATTGATATATATATATATATATATATCATATTTTCTAAATATATACGTATCAATTGTTAAATATTTATATTCGTATACTTTTCACTTTCATGTGTATATTTATATTTATTCATATTGTAAATTTACAATTCCTTATAAAAATATATAAAATTATGCCTATATTTATAATGTCACATCATATAGATAACATATAATTAAACATTATCTATTTATTTATTTATCAAAACAATTTCATGTTTGTAAAATTTATACATTTGTATATCTTTAAAATTTAAATATGTGTGTATATTTGTTATAGACATTTAAATGTTTTTAGTTTTTGGAAGTTATATTTTTTGTATACATATCTTGGTAAATTGATTATTTCCTATTAATTCTTAGCTCCTCCCGAGGCTGTGATTGTAACCCAATGACTAAAGCCTAGTTGACCTGACGTAGGCTCCACTTGCCGACCATTCTTACTGGGCCTCGAGCCTCGAATGCTTCTACAACGCGCCGATCTCTAACCGTACTTTTGGACCGGGTAAAAGATAGAAATCTCCGATCCGCAGATCCCGTGTTCCGGCTCGAGAGTGGAAGAGAAGAAGCATGAGCCGCTATTACAGGAAACCTTCGCAATCGAAACAACGAAGCAGGCATAAAAAGTCCTGCTTCGCCACGTTATGTGGGGACTCGCAAGACGAGTATGACGACTACACGGACAGCTCTGACTATGAAGATCCTCCGCCATACACGTTGGGCGAGAGCTTGGCCACCATTGTCTATTCGAACCGCAACAGACAGGAAGCACAGCAAGCCCAAATCTTCGCCTCCAGACCAAACTTTGTATGCGTTCAGCCCGACACCAGATACACCACTTGGCCGATGTCTCGCCCCCAAATTGCCAACTATCCCTCCTATCTGAGCTATTCGCCATATTTTCTCCCTCTAAATTACTGTCCTCCAAGCCGCTATCCTTGCTACCGCATGCCCAACTTCTATCACTAGACGCCACGATTGTGTATGCATTGGCGAGTCATTAAAATGGCACCTTTTACAATTAAAAATGCCCAATAGGCGCCATCTTTTCTGCCCATCATACACTTCCTTTTCACTATTTTGCCCGCACCATTGTCAACCGGAAATAGGTTTGGAATAAAGAAATCGTAGCCATTCCTTTTGTACTTAGTTACATTCATGATTAATCGTCTCATACTATGACTTGCACACATGCACTCCCGAACAGACGTGGACTTTGATTGATATGGAGATAATCTAATTACATTGTTCTCTGTTTTTTATCTCTTTATTGCCTTCAAAACTTCACGAACCATCGCTAGGGCTGACTTTTTTGCTTTGAATATCTTCTAGCGATTAGCCAGCAAACTTTACATATTCATAACAAATAACAATGGAAAATATCCTAATATATATATATATATATATATACATATATATGTATATATTTTAATTTAAATATTTGCATATTTGGTAGTGATGTTAAATGTGTTTAGTTTGTAAAAGTTAAATTTTTTGTATAATCATTATCTCCTCTTCATTCCTAATTTTTCTCGAGGTTGTGATTGTAATGCTATGATTAAGGCCAATTTGACCTGATGAAGGCACATTATTATATTTTTCATTGTTTTTTGTTAAGAATGTGCAAAGTTAGCCAATTAATCCCTTGAATCAGTGCCGTCTAGAAGATATGCAAAGATAGCTCTAATGATGGTTCATGAAGTTGAGGAGCGAACGAAATTTCAGACTTTTTGTATATAAAAAACGTAAACGTGGGTTTCGATTACTCACTTAATACCACAATTTTGTGGAGAATTTTTCTTCATACGACAGTGGATGATGAAGAGATTTGCGAAAATGAGTCCCATTCATATGAGAGCGATGAAAGTTCAGCCCGTCTTCGCCCAAAACAATGCAGGATGTCTTATGGACTGCGTCAACCTGAACGTACAAAATGAAAGTCTTCACAACAATCTCATTCTGTAGATACTAAGATAAACTGGGTTTCAGTGAATCTCCTCAGCTAAAATTGTTGGGGGGACATTTGTTTCGTATGAAAGTGCATGAAGAAGACATTCGTAAGTCGATCTGGCCAGAAGACGACGGCCTCTTCTTCCTGCCGTTTCATACCAAATTAAAGTGCCCCCGACAATCTCATACCGTTTTGCATCGGAACCGAAGAAGAAGGTCGAGTGCATTGTGTACCCCTGAGTGTTGTAGCCAAATCCAAGTATTGCACAGCACCGAGAACCATACGTCATCTGTTGGTGAGATATACCAACGAATCCCTCCTCCACACAAATTCACATTAAATAAAGCTGGCAAGACAGAGAAAAAAGTCATATACATCCTCGGTCAGTCTCGAAATGGGTTTAGGTCTGTTTTTTTAATGAAATGTCTGGAAATAGTCCTTCCAATCGCATCAGTCAATTTCACAAGAAGTGAAATACACCACAACAGGGACGACAGATCGCTAGATAGAAACAGAGACAAGTAGTCTGGTATGAGGTGGATAGACAGACTGACAAGTAGACAAGCAAGTGGATTACTGTATCCACTTCACTAACCACTAACGGATTTGATTTATGCACAGGCGGTTTTACAGGCAGACAAATTGAACGACCTAAACCGGGTTGTGGTGGTCGACAAGTGAGAAGCTCAAGGTACGAATCCCACTTTGAGTGGGAGGCGGTGGCAACGTTCGGGATCTGGGCGACATTCAAGCCGAGCCAACATAGCGCCTCCCTGTTGCCAGCTCAACTGCCAGTGTCCCGAAGACGGCGGTCACTCAAAATGTGTGGGTTCGAGCTAGTGGAATTGAGAGAAGTTGGGTCGAGGGTTAGACTCAGAGCTCAAATTTGTGGAAACGTCTTGCTTGCACTTGATCGACTCAACTCATTTTGGGATGGAAATGAGCATTGGATTGCTTGGGTCGTCGGCAGAATTGTACCCTGCGTTATAACTGCTTAAAACAATATAATTCCGTTTCTAAGGCATCTCCTCGGTTATACAATTTACGTTTAACAGCATTTTGAGACTTGACTCATTAGAGTCTGATATTCTGCTTTACTAATGAGTAAACCAATAACTTTTTTTTCCAAGTATCTTTTGGCTCATTGGACTCAATGTATAATAAGAATGTGAATAACATTTATTATTCTAGAAAACTCTTAACTTATAATCTTTTAGCCCAATTCTATTTCAAATATGAGTGTGACTTGATAGGATTTGCTTTGTATTCCTCTACTTCTCAGCTTAAATTTTTCGTGAAAATGGTACACTACTTGAGTAAGGTAGATGCCTATTAAATTTGTGTTTAGAGGAATCACACAACTCAGTGTTTTTCGCTCAACTCTATTACTAATG